GCATGGTATATCCAGCAATACCACGTGAGTCGAATAAGCTGATTTAATATTAAAAATTATAATAATACTTACACAACTCTTTTCAGGTTAAAAGTGTATTAGAAACATTAACTAAGGAGCCCGCACACCTCCCTGTGAGGTAAGTAAGTATTATTACCCCCATTTTACAGATGAGGTAACTGAGGCAGAGAGGTTAATAACCTGCCCTCTCTCTCTCCAGGTTTTCCTAGGAACAGGAGGGCTGTAGTGCATGATGATTATTCATTATAAGGCTATTTAATTACCAATTGTTACTGGCACGGTTACTGGTTGGTATGAACTCACGCATGTTTATGGAGTCAGTTCTTATTTAATTCTTCAACTGATCTATTTCAGATCCCATCTAAGAGAGGAGCGGAGGAAAAAAGTGCTTTAGCTTGTCTACTTTTCACTGCTTTGCAGCTCAGTGCCCACCTGCTGAGCAGCACACAGGGAACACATCGCCTAGAGCTGACGCTCACGTTAGCCAAGAGACAAAACCTATGTACAATAATTAATGCTAATGGCTAAAGGACCTGAAAATCACATGAAATGTTTCCGGAAGATTCGTGGCAGGTCCAAAAGCCCATTGTAAACGCAATACTGTAAATACGCTTTCTACTCATATCAAGGCTTTATTATGGGATTATTATTATTATTTCCAATGATGTCTTTTGCTTAACAAGGAGGATCTTCCCCTACACCAACTGCACGCGTCTCCTATGGCATTTACCTGGGATTGCATCTGGCTGAGAAAACAGACTTTGCAAGTGGTACCACTCAATCCTGGCCCTTGGACACATCTTTCCAGCTAGAAGACAAATTCTTCTCCCACTTGACCTCATTAATTTTACAGGAGCCCAGCATTATTCAGTTGAATTCACCCCAAAAGACAGGATGGATTTCGAAGGCCACCAGCATTTAGATACGATGAGTTTCTTTTAAACTAACAGCTGATTTCCAGAAGAACTTTCTTCAGTTTGTAAAAGGAAATTCAATTGTATTTCTGGAAAGAATGAAGGATCAGAAAGCTAAATTGCATTTCTCCTCTAAATTGGATTAAGGGGGAGTATTTAATTATGGGAATGTGCTCTCTCCTTCTCACATATGTGCAATCCTTGCTAGGAGCACCGAGACTGGCCGGCGGGTGAAGCAGCTGTCCTGGAAACCCACCACCCTGCTGAAGTGACTTGAAGGTGGATAAAAACACTGAGATGCTCGAATAATTTGCCTAGGAGCCAGTTAAGTCCCATTTAATCTTGAAAACAGCTTGGAAGTTTTACGTGGCAGACCTGTGCCTCCCCAGCAGGAACGGGGCTGCTCCAGAGTCCCTCAGGACTTGAGCACACGTGGGACAGAAACACGGCTCCCAAAACTTCCACCCCAGCTTCGGTGCATTATAATTTCCAATTTGACTTTTAGAAATCTTTGGGATAATCTTTGCCATGTGATATTCCGCGAATACGGTCGCTATTGAGCACAAGTGAAAGAAAAGCCGTTCTAATGCCTCCCCCTCTGTCGATACATGTTCTCTAGAAACACAAATCTTGTGAAAAATATTGTATAAATAACATCTGTATTTAAAAAGATACAAAAGTGCTTACTGGATACTTCAGGTTTTACTTGCCATTATAAAATTCTGGATGATAACTAAGCCACCTGGAGTGCTCGTTAAAGGGCTGGTCCAAGCACGAGCATCCATCTGCATTAGGCAGAGCAGCGAGGAAAACCCCAAATATTCAGTCCCTGCTTTATACAACTCTGTCTTGTTCCTGCAGGATCCATGAGTTCCCAGTACCTTTTTGTAAGCGTTACCAACAACTACAGAAGACAACATGAGATGTCACAAGCCCAGGGACTCGAGGTGACGACATTAAAGAGTAATTTCTGCTTCTACATCAGAAAAACTGGGGAGCAAATGCAAGTGCCTAAGAAACTGGTTATGAGAAGCAGCCAGAAAATGAGCAGCTCTGTCCAGATGTTGGACCAGCTCTTCAATGCCGTGTCCTGGTGTGAGCAGTAACGTCCCTCTCCGCTGGGCCAGCAACAACCAACCGCAACGGGACTTCCCTGTACAATTCGTATTTCATCAGGAAAACCGGAACTGTTTGGGAATGTCTATCCATGGGATCTCCTGCCTGTTTCTGGCGTGGTTTAGTTCTGCCCCTGTACTGCTTTTCTTTCTGCAAAACCCTCTGTGCTGGTGTTTCTCTCTGTACTTTCCTTTTTCAAAAGTCTCTTTCACCTCATATTCTTAAAACACATGTAATGCCACCCTCGGCAGACTGACGGACCCAAGAGCCCCTAATTTATTCCAAATCCAAGCCTCGGTCATCTGTTGAATCTACTACTTTCAACAGCATGATACTCAGATTCTCCTAAACTATGTCAGGCCAATGATATTGAGAAGAACATAAACAGTCACGAATGCTGCACCAGTCCACATGCTTTATGGTGAATACCACAACATCTGAAGTATATAATGTACAAACAAGAAAACGAACTCCTAAACTTGGCTGATAACATATTTGACACAGAATGGTTTAAAAATGTTACTCCTATAAAGTTTTAAAACCGGTGAGTTCTGTTTGTTTAGGCAACAATCTGATTCTTGCTAGTTGGTCAGTGCCCCTCGTTAGCGGTGTGTGTTCCCGTGCCTCGGAACGGTCCGGCTCACTCATTAGAGCCTGCTCGCCCTGACCCGGGGAGAGGGTCCCTGCTCAGGGTTGGGGCTGCCAAAGGACTGGGTCTGGGCAACAGTCAACCCTCTGAGTGTTGCCAATCGCACATCCCGGGCACCAAAAATCCGGCTGCTGAGGGCACGGTGGGTGCAGAAGCACGCCACAGTTGCCGTTCAGATCCAACCGTGTTCCACTCAAAAGCTGTCCCACTCCACCACCGGTCACCCCCCGTAAGTCAAACCCATCCGCTCGGCCACCAGTTTGCAGGACTGGATCTTTCTAACAGAATCTTTGGCACAGGTTCCATGTTTTATTGTCATAAAAGATGGTTAGAAAGTAGATTCCCCTTCCCACCCCCCTACTTACATATTCTAGTATAAATTTAAGTCTTTTATGGCAAATACTTTTTGAATATGTTTACATGCTGGAAAAATTGTAATCAGTCTGCATGCAGCAACAGAGACATCATGCTTCTGGCATGGCCATGCACATCTGACAGACACAAAGTGCCCATGGCTGCTAACATTAGCAAGGCAGAAGGGAAAAAAAAAAGGAAAACGCACTGACTACTATTTTACATGCTGTAACAAAACCAAAATATGCACAAAAAATATTTACTGCTATTTGAATTAATATCTTCTGGTAAGTTGTAAGAGGAAATACCAAAATTTTTTATCTAAGTGATAGGAGAGGAGAAGATTGCATTAATTACAGTGTTCATCATTGCAAATAAAGTCTATTTCCTTCTCTGTAAGTAATAAGCAGACGTGAGATGAAAGCTTAATTGAGCCTCATATAAAACCTGCAGGTAGCAATTATTGTTTAAAAGTAGATCTACTTTTAAAAAAAGAGATTATACCCTAAGCCATTAACAATATCCAAAACCTAATGTAAAAACCAAACCAATAGCAATAAAACATTTAGCTAAATCTAAATGATGTCATTCAGAACAAGAACTTTCACAAACAAAGCACAACTTGTTTTATAAAATTTTTATAATACTCTTTATGCTTGATATGATTATGTCAATAATATAGATCTGCTTATTATTAACCCTTATTATTAAGAGTTATTACTAAACATGCAAAATTCATTGCATGAAGCATATGTAAAATGTATTAAATTCCTTTCTATCAATAAAACAAGTTTTAGGTGCTGCTTCTTTCAGGCTTGATTATTCTACAGCCCCAAGTTTTCGGAATTAAAACTGATTATTTTAAGACTAAATCTCACTTGATTTTCACAAGTTATTCCAGAGAAATCAGGAAGTCACTTGGGGCTGCATTTTTTGTTAATTTAGTATACATAATGCGTTCTTGGATGTACTGCCCTATACTGTAGACTATAAATAAACACATGTAAATAAGAGTTAAGGGATTACAGTTTTGTTTTACATTCCAGGTTAACAAATTTCATAATAAAATATTGGTATTAGAACTAGTTAACAGTAAACTTGAGGAGTGGTGTAAATTAAATTAACTGACAAACAATGGCACCCTGGATCACAGAATAATCTCATGGAGATTAAAATTCACAAAAATATTATTAAAATTATTACTATTATTATTAATATTAAAGACAAAATTTCACCCTTGAGTTTATCACATGCTACTTAGCAAGGATCCTAGAGATCTGGCCACCGCTGAAGTGTGTTTAGACTTGGTGCTGCTTACAGGATCGATTCACGAAGCCTCAAGGTCTAATTTGATTTTTTTTCTCCCACCCTCTCCCAACTTGATTCTCTCATATTTCCAAAACAACTACTTTCGACAACTTTTTGGCAACGCCTCTCCTCCCCGGTGCCGTCGCTGTTTCAGTCTCTCGTGCTGCTGATGTCCCCGAAGTCACCGGGAATTTTTTGAGCGGCTCCTCGGGGCCGAGTGCTCCTCGCTCCCAGCATCCGCACCGAAGGACTAAATGTTTGAGGTGTGTTGGGTCTGTGTTGATTTTTTTTTTTTTTCAGACCATGAGTTAGATTATTTCTAACACAGCAGAGAGGAAAAGGGAGCAAAAGTACAGTGGGAAGTTACAAAAATATATAACGTACCAAAAAATGGGTAAGTTTAGATGAATCAGTGGTGACTTCTAGAAGAATGAGTGGGCACTGTATACTAATTTATCTCCCATTAAGAAAACATCGCTGTTGCAAAGCCAAAATCCTGAATAAGTGGCCTTTCCCCCCATCTTACACTTTCTAACCCTACAATTTCCAGGCCCAAACGGAATCAACACGGCAAAAGCCTAAAAATTGTAGGGTTAAGGACTGCTCCCCACTGCGGGATTTCTTCCTGTTCTGCTGTTTCATGCTACATTTTGTAAAAGGGGGTGTATGAACTGGGGGTTGACATAAGAGAACCCTTCAAAATCTGTTTGGTCTATGTTAGCAATGACCAGCTGATCCGGAGGGGTTAACACCGGCTGTCCTCGTGTAAAGAATTTATCGAAGTTTTCGGCGCCTTTGCCACACTGAAAGAAAAGAACAAACAGAAAAGAGGGTGAAAAAATCAGCAATACATTGGCAGTTCCAGCTTTTTGCAGATTTTTTTCAGGGTACATGCAAGACTTTCCCTCATTTCTCATGAGGAGTTAAGAGAAAATTCTCTTTTCAGGTATTTTAACTAAAAATCCCGGGCAAACGGAGAAGTTTTGATAGATGCATTCTGATGAAAAACAGAGTCAGAAAAGTTCCCATCCATCAGCATAAGGTGGCAAGGTAGAGATGCTTAAATACTCAGAATTACTGGGATAAAATGGAAAAAGAAAATATTTTTATGGATATGTATTGGCAAGAGATACTTTATCTATCAAGTAATTTTATTCTCCCTAAAACCTTTATGGTGCAAAATTAAATTTTTGTGTTAGTCTCTGTTTCCTTCACGATCTGCAGAAAGCTTAAAGTAATGAATTTATATGATTTGATTCTCCATTGTATAGCCTATAAACTCTTGTAAATTCATAAATGATGGCAGAGCTCCAGTTGTGGGGCTGCAGGAGGGAGCTGGGGCAGGGACCGCAGCTTGGGGACAGGTCCCCATTACAAAACGTGCTGTCACTGGTTTCCTCCTGTTTTTGTTTAAGAGACGAGACACGTCGTCTCGCGAAGCCCAGTTGAGAAGGGTGGTGATATGGAACCACACGCTGAACACAACTCACTCCGAACAGAAAACAAAAGAATTCAGGTTTGCAAAAAGGAGAGTTTTGAGTAATGCAGAAAACACTTGGAAGGCAGGAAAGTATGATTAGAGGCAAGTTAAAAAGCACGAAGGTGGGATCAGAGTAAAATTAGCTTGGGTGCAAGAAATAAATGCATGTTTGAGGAAAACTGGGCATTGAATATTGTGGAGAGGTGTAAAGGAAACTGGTAAATCTGCTTATCTCAAAACTATCTACCGCAACAGATCTTTGAACAAAGCGTGGCTGTATGACAAAGGCACTGAACATTTCTTCCCGTTGTCCCTGCCCCTTTCCTCTCTCTCCATCCCTACAATATATCTACATGTGGATTTAGAGGATAACATTACACCATTATCTTCAGACTTAGAGGATAACGTGGAAAGAGTAGAATATGGCTCGTACAATAGACTAATATTAAATGTTGATTTTTCTGAACTAATGAATTTATAGGAGAAACCAGCCAAAGAGCGGCCTGGTAAGGGAACTCAAGGGTGAGGTGTCTGGCTATCTTGAAAACAGCTCAGTCACAATTTCCAATCTTCTTGTAAAGCACCTGGCACGTCCTGGGCTGGGACACGCCATCCGATCTGAGCTGCAAAGAACTTTTGCTGCCTCGGGCACAAGCTGGTTTGTATTTCAGATGAACAAGGCATGCTCAGGTACTGGACCGCAGTGCTCACAGAAGGACACTTGTTCAGTCTTGGAGGAACACAAGCAGAGGGACACTTCAACAGGTTAAAGGCTAATGGTAGTCTGCTTTTATCACCCGGGGTTCTGCACTCACCGAATACCCTGGTGCCCACTGAAGCCAATGCATTTTGGTACAGAATCTCTGGAGAACAAGAATGGACACAGTGGAACTTTGACAAGGGGAAAACTCTCCATCATTGGAATGAAAGTTGGTATGTCCCCAAATTAACAGTCAAATTTATTCAGAGGTAGTACAGTCAACCCAAAGCAGCAACAAAAGGGCTTTTTATATGGGGAAGACTTTTTGCAAAAAGATATTCTACAGGTATTGATCATTCTTCCACAGAATTATGCTCTATCTGTTTTCTTTTCTTTTTCTTTTTTTTTTTCTTCTTTTTTTCAGCAAGTGGAAGGTGTTCAAACAAGCTGCAAAGTCCCTGACTCCATCAGGTGTCTATTGCTCATACTAGCAGAGGCTAAGAAATAACTCATGTAAAATTTGGGTAATTTTTGAGCGCAAATATAATTATCAATAAATTTGCATCTTCAATTATGTATTTGCCTTCACATCAAAGAGTAGCATTGCTATTGTGAGCATTAATGCAGTATTAAAGCAGAACTGAAAACACAGGACTCCTAGAACTCCTTAACTTACAAATATGAGTAAAATGTCCTTCTTGCCAATCAATCGGTCCATGCCTATAGCCTGTGAAATGTCAGCCTGGAAGGGAACACTTTATTTAAACTGACCAACTGCTGACCCAAAATCTGCAGCTCCGTGTTGGAGTGAGAACCATGCCTGCGTACAAAAGCAGCAGGATTATTCCTGCAGTCACGCGCTTCCTAGAGAAGATGCAACTACAAAGGTTTTCTGAAAAAACTCCGCCTCAAACAGAGCCTATAAATACTCCACATCTTCAAACAGATTAAGGGTGATGTGCTTTTTACTTTCTAGAATCCATATAAGCAGAATAAGCAATCACAATAAATGACTTATACATATGGTATGTAAGTATCAGACTTGGATTTTAAATTATTTTTGTCCGGGAAAGTTGGGCTCCGTGTGAATACGCCTCGGTGTATTTTAATAGCAACTTGTATAAACAAAACAGGTCATGATAACCATGGAGACAGAACATAGCTGCTCTAAACAGGAGCCAGGACCTGCCACCAAAGGTGCTATGACGGAACCAGACCAAACTTCAAGCTTTTAGTAACTTCATGCTGGTGTTACCGTTAACTTCAAGGAGAGTCTAAGTGCTCAGTTCCTGAGCTAATAAAACTTAGAGATGTGAAGGCAAATTTGCTTTATGATTAGCTTTAAATTTGACTCAAGAAGCATGTAGTAAAAATTGTCTATAGAATACACTTTAAAGAGGTGCAGCTCCCCCTCGGACGGACAGCCCCGGACCGGCCGGGCAGGGCTGGCAGCACCGTGCCCGTTCTTTACGTAGTTACACTCTTCCCTGCGTGCAAAATCCACACCATACGAGAAGGGTGATTTCTTGTGGCACAAAACACTCTTCTCAGCATGCTACTCCCCTCCTGGTGATGTGAAAAAGTCATTTGTGTGCAAAAAGAGAGGAATCTATTCTGCCACCGGGTAGTGGCCTCCCTCTGCTCATTACTTTGTGACACCCCACTGGCGTGGCTGCATCGGTAAATAAACCAGCACACAGACCCATGATCCTACACCTGCAGTGCTACAGCCAGCTACGCATCCCAGCTGAAACCAAAAAAGCGTTAGAGAGGAAAGATTCAGTGTCAAGACATAACAATTTACAGCTGTTCTTGAAAGCTTCTATTCTTGTGTGCAAATACTTCCCTTGGCCTGTCAATAAAGCACTGTACAGGCTGAGAGAAATTTTGTGTCAACAAATACAGTTCTTCAGTTTTATTATGCAAACAGTTCTCAGGGTAAGGACTTCTTTCGCTGCTTGGGTTGCTAAAACATTCCTGCAGATACATGTGTGTAAACCAGTAATAAACATCAAAAGTAAGTCAGGGATTATTCTTGCAAACTTGGCAGATGTGGGTTTTCTCACTTGAGGACGGGGAATACAACCGCCCTGTGGTGTGCAGCCCACCGTGGAGGAAATTCATCCCAGTAGTTCCGATACCTTTAATCATTGACTTTAGATGCTGTTCAGAGGAGACAGTCAGGAACTGCATTTATTATATGTCTCAAGTGGCTGATGTGAATATGCCAATTTTAGAATCACAGAATCATTTAGGTTGGAAGAGACCTTGAAGATCAGAGAGTCCAACTTTTAAACTACCTCTGCCAAGTCCATCACTAAACCACATCCCTACGCACCACATCTACACATCCTTTAAATACCTCCAGGGATGGTGACTCCACCACTTCCCTGGGCAGCCTGTTCCAAGGCTTGACACCCCTTTTGGTGAAGAAATTTTCCCCTACATCCAACTGAAACCTCCCCTGGCACAACTTGAGGCCATTTCCTCTTGTCCTATTGCTTGTTACTTGGGAGAAGAGATTGACATCCACCTCGCTACAACCTCCTTTCCCTGTTTTCAACTTCTGCAATGCATGACCATTGAAGGCAAGACTCAAACCACTGAGAGACTTTTTTGCAAGGAACAAAGTACACTGGGTTATGCTCCAGGGTGCCAAAACATTAGCAGATTTGCAGACTGGTCTGTTGTAATCAAATTGCCTTATTTTAGAAGTGTCCCAGATTTGCAGCACCATCAAGCCAGCATTAATCTCACCCCACAGGAAAGCATGACTGCAGACACATTTAGCGAGGGAAGTTCTTGGCATCTCACTTACCACTTTGGGTTTGAAAGGTGGCTGAATCTCTCTGTTTTCCAGTTTTTCCCAGTCAATTCTCCTGAAGAAAGCATGTTCCCTGATGTCTCTTTCACCTTCAAGGCCACAGCCAAGGCGTTTTGCAGGATGTTTAGTCATTAGCTATTAGAAAGAAAACACCAAATGATTAAATTTAACGCTGGAATGAAAGTGAGACAGACTTTCCCCAGATTGTGATGCTTTTGCTCCTCCCCTGAAGATGCAAGTTGATAATAAAATTGTTTTGAAAAAGCTAAAATTCATTTTTTGAAGATTAGTTTTCTTGTTTGATAACTGGAGATAGCACATCAGCAGTAAAATTAAGGGTTGCACTTATTTCTTCCCATTCGGCAGAGGTTGCTGCTGGAGTTGTGGGTGGGCAGTGCCCAGGGCAACCTGCCATTGTATTAGTTCACAACTCACTCCTGAATTCAGCTTTTGGTCTTTCAGTTCAGTCTTATAAATCTCCAAAACAGCTTCTGCCCTACTTCAACAATCAATTAAACTTAATAAATTTCAATATACTGAAGCTGTACAAAGCACAACCCCCCTCTTTCATTTTTCTGGGCTTGTTCGAGACATCTCATTACAGAGCCTACAATTTCTTGGCACCAGCTGACAATATCTAATCTGCGTTTCCTCCCTTGCATCCTTAATGACATCTTGGTCAATGCTACGCCCAGTTGCACAGAATAAGCAGACCTGGGGGAAAAAACCCACCAAGCCCACTAGCATTGCATGCTTGGAAATGGTAATATGCTTCTTAATTAACAAGCACCTCAAAATCTTTTCAATTGATATGTACATTAGGAATTGAGCAATGTAGCCTTCACCTCTCAGTTCCAGTGTTGTGGGGACCTTTTAAAGCTCTTTTACAAATTATATATGATTAATGTCCTGCTGGGAGTGATACCTCAAGACATCTTTTTAAAACCTCAGCTGTATCGCTTTAGTCTCCCTCCAAATGTTGAGTTGATCAGATTCCAATTCTGAACCTAAAATAAAAGTGACTCTCAAGCAGACTTTGGGAAGTCAGCTGTGCACTGGGCTAGGAATCACATCCTGCTTCAAGCTTAACAGCAACTTTCCTATTTTTGTTCCATTTTCTACACCCATTGCTTTAACAGTGGGTGATATAAGAAAATGTGAATAATGATTTTAGCAGTTTTAATTCTGATGTTACTGCATTGACCAAACCCAACAAACTCTCAACCACTAGCACAGATGTCAAGCAGACAATTCAATTTCAAGAGCATCGTTTGCTTTGCCCGATGGTGCACAGTCCCAGGACTGCTGACCTACTGCTGACTACAAGGTTCAGAAGCCTTCTCATGCTGACTTCTTAGCTCAGGTGTAATGCTCACTGAAATTAGGGATGAATTTGTTAGTTTAATTCAGAGATGAATGTGTTATTATCACAGAGACTTGACATTAAACATAGTGGAGCAATGCAATTTTAGCTCTCTGACCTCTCTTTGCATAAGCACCTACCAGAACAGCAACAAGCAGGAGAGCTGAAAACAGGGTAATTACATCAAGTTCAAACTGTGCTGTTTGAATACATGATTTTCATGACAAGGCATCAATCTGCATTTACTTTGCAAAAATCTATCATGCTTAGTTTTTGTTGGCCAGCGTATCCACACCGGGATGGGCTCCAAAATTAGAGTCTTCTCTCCTTTTACTTTGCTGTTCTAAACAGCTTTTCTTTTTTTTGATGGTTTTTCCTTAAGGGATTAATATCCAGCTCATGTACAATGCTTCATAAATGGTTGCAAGGGAAAGGAAGATAGCAAATACCAAATTAACTGACACTAAGTGCAGTGATATTTTATCAGTGTAAGTAAGACATCAAAGTAACACTTTATAGATGGTGGTTTGGAAAAGCCGCAGACTGACGGCACTCTGGGGAATCACACGGAGTCAAGGGAAAGTCAAATGAATTCTTTTTTCCTGAGCTAATCCCCTGAAGTCAAACCTATTATTTTCCTTGAAAAAAATTAAATTAACTTAGAAGCTAAGAAAAATTTTAGGCCACACAGGTTACAACTGGGTCAGGATTTCCCCACAGTTTCCTTGCGTCGAAAGATGTTCACATAAGCTCATCTTTACCTACATTTCAAAATGATTCTTATTAACTCTGTTGCTCTGCTTCTGTCAGTCGAGCTGCTGGGCTGAGGACTGCAGCATGCTCACTGGTGTATCTGGTACCCATCTAAGCTGAGATACCTCCTCCCCGTGCAAAACTGGGGTTCTACTGGCGAGGGTTGAGAGGCAAGGTGGGTGGAGACATTTCACACCATCGTCCTGCTTATAAATTCTGCTTTGGATTTGGCAGCTCCTGATTCTGACATTTGTTCATACCATAAAACAAGCAGGCACAGTGGGAAGAGCTATATACTTATCAGTGACACCAAGCGATAAGCACTTTGTGACAATACAGCTTAGCGCAGCCTGACAGAAGTTGCACTTAAAAATACTATAGTGCCATATCAAAGCCAGAAAAATTTATTCACAAGGATTGCCAAAAAGGAGCTTAATGATAAAGAAGCATCTATCTCACCCCCTTGCAGATGGAGACAGCTTCTTTGGACAGTGATTTTGGATAGGAAACATTATGTTCCATTATAGACTGGAAAAGTTCATCTTCATCTTCTCCGTCAAATGGAGGCTGTTGAAAATAAATCAGAGGTAAGTTACTCATTGGGATTTTTTGGTTTTTGTTTTTTTTTTAATTCTTAACTTTTTATGAAATGGCATGACAATACTATGGCCACACTGGGTCAGGTCCAAGGTGTATCCAGCCCAGCAACCTGTCTCCAGTCGATCACAGATGCCCAAAGAGATCAGCGTACGGCAGTGGTCCCTGCCCAGGAACACACACACCAAACTCCCAGCCACCTGCGGCTTGGGACCTTCTCACCCAGAAGTTTCATGTTTATCACTCAGGCAGAAACGGAGGAGAAAATTTCATTTCTGCCCCAGCATAGCAGCCAGGTTAATGAAATGTGTGCAGGATTATCTTCGTGATCATCTTTAATCAGCTTGTACAGCTACTGTGCACCAGACAGCCAAAATACTTTAAAGGGTGAAGTCTGGAGACAGTAACTTTCAATTACCTTGTGCTAAGGTATATCCATTCTTCACTTAATTCCAGTTAAACTCCAGTTTGGTTTATAAGACATGGCTGTAGACTCTGCTTCTGTGATGGGACGACTGTATCACAAGCAAGAGCTGCATTTTATTTTTAAATGTAGGTGATGAGGAAAGTGCCCACGGGCGAGTTCCCAGGATACAGGCACTGTGGAAGGCTTAACGAATGGTAAATCTCATTTCCTCAAAAGCATTCAGATGCCTAATATTTGCAATGCAGACTGTAAATGTTAACAACTGCAACACTTTTAAAATGCTGACTGGAATTTAGCAGAGAAGCTATTAAAGGCATTTGTTAAAAATTTATGTTTAAAGCTTAGGAAACGCATACCTTTAGCTAACACTCATTGAAAGCTAATTGCACACATCTTTTCCAACTCAAACCCAATAGAATTCCTTAAAGTTGGTGGTTATCTGCCATTTACTGCAGTACAGTGTTGCTTTTCTACTGGAGTGACTCAGAGAGCAGGATCTCATTAACTGCAGAATGAGGGGCCTGCAACTGAGCATATTCCAAGTGGTGAGCCCCATACTTTACCCCCAGGACATACAACACAAAAACTGTATTCTTGTGGCTTAACTGCAATGCAGAGCATATACATGCTCTTATTATGTCTCCCTGTGGTTTCTAACTACTAAATGACATTTCTTCCATTTGACATGCACTTTCCTGCTCAAGTGTCTCCCATTCAATTTTGAAGATGGCTATTTATAACATTATTACAGTACAAAGAAACTGTATTCAAAGGCAGTGCTGGATTATGTGGGTGCAACAGAAAGAGCTTAAAGCCTAAACACAATTCTCAGTGGAGTCAGTCAAGAGTATAAGGAGATAATATGAGTATGAAAGGTCCCAATCCTGTCCCCTGAGGGTTGAACTCTTTAGGGAGCCTTGAAACAGAGCAGCGTTGGAGAGGCAGGAGGAGGGCACAAACCCTTACCTGGCCAGCCAACATCTCATAGAGCAGCACTCCATACGCCCACCAATCCACAGACTTCCCATAGGGCTGGTAAGCAATAATCTGTATAGTCGCAAAAAAAAACCAAAGAAAAAATCCTATATTAACTCTCAGGCTTAGTGTCATGTGAGATAAATAGCGATACGCAGAGAAGAACATGCTTCCTTTAGAAAGACAATACTGAAATCCTTGCTCCAGCCAATGACTGGTTTCAGTGGGAGGGGGACTGTTTCGCAAATCTTAGTCTAAATCAGCCCCTGTCTTTTCGTACTGCGATATCTTGGGAAACGTGGCTCTTAGGGGACCTTGGGATGTGCGTTTGAAGGCAAAGAAGGAAGTACAGCAGGCCAATGTAGGAGACAAGGCAAAAATGTTCTCCATCCATTTGTGCCAAAGCTTGAAATCATGAGACTCACTTAACTTACAGATGCTTTGGGCAACCTGGTGTAGTGGAGGGTTTCCCTGCCCATGGCAGGGGGGTTGGAACTAGATGATCTTTAAGGTCCCTTCCAACCCAAACCATTCTATGATTCTATGATTATCAATAATTAAGCCTTTCTTTTCTATTCAACGTTTATATTTTTGTTCTGCTGTAAACAGAATCAAAATTCTAAAAAAGAGCAAAACCCTGAAAAACTCAGTTACATTTTCCCAAGTTGCATGATTAATATACTCTTAGTATGAAGCTAGATACCAGCTACACAAAAAAGAAAGGGGTTTCTGCTGTTCAGCCTAATCGAAATGTCAAGTATTTTGCGTCCTCTGGGTTCACATCTGACTCACACAGAAGCCCAAACTGAGTTCTGACACAACGAAAGGCTGCAAGTGCCAACCGCATGCAGGTCCCCTCGTGCGTCATTTTCTTTAACCGAGGCCTCTTCAGAGATCAGTGTTAATGTATTTAAGGGATGGATTCGGGCATGCTATAGAGGAGTTCTGAGGTGCAAACGTTCTCTCAGATCTCCTTTTAAATAACTGCGAAGGGATACTGTGAATCGTGAAGAGATGTAGAACGTCTCAGCCACTGTCCATCCACGCTGGGGAACGCAGCATCGGAGCCTCCAACCCAACACACTGCTCCACCAGAATTAGCAGAGAACTAAGGCATTCATTTTATTCCAGATGGGTTTGCATTTATTTTCCTGTTTGCATGTGTTTTTTATTCTTTGTGAAACAAATTGCTAAGACAAGTACACATCACGTATCCCAGATTTTCTTAGTTGTCTGAAAGAGAAGTTGAACCAATAAGTTTTGTAGTTTCTCAGGAAAAGAGTGAGTCACCAGTTCAATAAAGCAGGACTGCCTGGCTACTAAATAAAATTATAGTCTCTATGTGAATATATGTTTTTTGCTGGGATAAGAGCAGCACATGAATTAAAATTCCTGCAATGTTTCTAAGCGAAGGATTTCAAAATCAATCATACTTTGAAATATATTACACAACCAGAGGCAATAACAAGATTCTCAGCTGGAAGGCCCTCCACAAAGGCCATCTTCATTAGTTGTCTTTTAGCAGTAATATGGGCTTTAAAATACATACTTGGGACATTAACTTCATATTATAGTGGTTGACATACTCGGTTACTCTCCCTTTAATTTCTATCACCGTTAAGTTCCCAGAGGTCCACTTCTTGAAAGACCAAACACTTTCAAAATTTTATCCGGAAAAAATACTGGCCTTTACACATAGAAAATGACAAAACTTCTCATCCTCAACCCTTCTCTGACAATCTCTCCTTGCCTTACGGAACAGAACACTGTATCAGAAAAAAAAAAAAAAAAGGAATCATGTTCAGAAGGTCATTAATTTATAGGGGCAGAACATTTTGTACAGTAAGTGCGCTTCACGTAAGTCGTTTTGGTACAAACAGTTTATTTCAAGTAGCAAATGAGAAAAAGACGGATCGATAGCACTGAGAAAGAAACTGCTGCTACATTGTCATGGTTCTCAACCTGGCAGTCAGATCTGTCCAGGAGACCACAGCCTACTTCTCTTCCTATTGTGAAGGAGTTTGATGGGACTATCGACAAGAGGAAACCTTTTAAATATGGCAATGCAAAGTCATAAAATGAAAGGTAAAACAAAGCACAGGCTCAGTGAGGCTGTTTGTTTATCCAGCAAGAGGTGAGGGAAGATTGGGTTGTTCTCTAAATAGCATTCATCAGCAAATGTAATCTGCTCCAATTAAGTCTGCCTTTGTGAGAGAATATCAAGCAGAATCATCAAGAAAGACAGAATTAACATGAAAAAAGCTCTCACGTTTAACCTAACATATGGTCAGAGACACTAAAACTTTTGTCTGATGTCACTGGATAAAATATTTATTTGATGCCACATGTCAAGATCAGCAGAGGCATTAGACGAAGAGACCAGTGCCCCCTCCGAGCTGGCACACACCCCCCTTGCCTGAACCAGTCGCATGACGGAAGAGTGGGATTTGAGAAATAACTATGGATATCAAGTTCCACTGGGACTGGAAAGGTCCCGTTGTAGAAAAGTCCCACTGCAAATGCAATGAAAACACTTTTTTCATGGCACCTATTGCAATGCAGGAAGAGGTGGTACTGTACACGGTCTGCTGCTGTACACTGGAGGTTTTTTTCCTTTAATCCTAATTAAATATATCCAATTTGAATCACTAGCTTAATCCTGGTAAGGATGTGATGCAAGTGAAACACAGAAAAGCCATCGGCCACGTTCATTCACCAACCTGTGTGTCATGCACGGAAACCAACGGTTATGCTCATAATGTTGGGAGCTATTCAAAGCATTAACTGGAAAATGTAAACGAGAGGAAAGAACGCTCACTTCAAGGAAGGAATTACACGTGGGAGGAAGCAGATGAGTTTTCAATCTACAGTCAAACAGGCATTGGTACAAAGTCAGCAAGTTTTAAAGGTTGTATTTTCAGTAGTTCCCTCCTCCTCATGCAGAAACCAGCATGTGTTACCCACCAGCTGCTGCACTCTAAGCCAGCACTGGCTGCCTTGCAGCAGCTGCCACAATAACCCTCCTGCATGTACAAATTTTGGTATCTTTTAGAATAACTCAGGGTGTATTAACACGACCTCCTGTCTCACCGCAGCGTGCAGAGCAGACCCATAGAGCAGTAAGGGCGTCCTTGGGCCTGGGAATGAAGACCTGTGCCCTCCTCTAGCTGTGATCTCTGCTTCCTACAGCCCAGGGAGGAGCAGAAAGTTGATAGGACCTTCCCTACTCCTCCTTCTCCATCATTAATTTAAACGATTGCCTTTTTCATCTCCTTTTGCATTTCACATGTCCCATTTTCCCTACCTACTACTATATTTTAAGAGCTCTGCCTTTTCAGGTGCTGTGGATTTGAGAGCTCAGGAGGAATTTCTCTCATCAAGCCAAACTGGCAGAGCAATATTGATTATTTTTTAATTTTTTTTTTCTTTTTCTTTTTGCCTCCAAGGAAGGCACGGTTAAGAGCAGGACACAGAGATTAATACCAGCAATTTGTGGAATCTTTAGAATATTGCAGCTTGCAGCTGGTAGCTGGTCGGGATGAAAAGATTATATCTCAGAGGCAAGAGAGAGTCTTTTGTGAACAAGTCTTATGTCTACTCAAAAAGTTTAAACTAAATTATTAAAAGAAAGAAATATTACTAGCACAAGAAACAGTAAAATGTACACTTTCAAACTTTTGTAATACCCATTAGCTTCCCATAATCCTGGCAAATGCAAGGTTAGAACTTAAGGTTTTGTGGTTATTAGATGAAGGAGAAAGGGAACAGAGTTTCTAATTTAAATTTTTTTGCTGTTGCAGGGATGCTGATGGTGGGGTTCACCACTGCACTGCAGGCAGCGGGCTGTGCTGGCAGAATCCTTTCTGCTAATCCTGTTGACATCCATCTCCTTCTGTCTCTCTTGACAGGTCAAGGAAATATAAAATATTAACTGATTTCATGGCTATTTTACCACTCTGACCATAAATATTTAAGTTCAGCACATCAATAAATATTCTTTACTAGATAACCACTTTCTGCCTGAGAGAAGTGGTCACACCTGGGATTCTACCAGTTTAACCGCTACATGTTTCTCAAATTGCACAGGATAAAAAAAATTCAATATTAATTCCAGTGTGTTATACACATAAGTAATAACAAATGCTAACTTTCCCAGTCATTAGAAAAGGAAAGCATTATTTTACAGTACACTACAGCGTGTGAGTCCACTTCACTGAACGCGGCACCATATACCTCTGCGTTTCTGTCTGGAGGTTGTACGTGTGAAGGCAGCTGAGATGTCCCTGTATGGTCCTTCCAGCCGTGGGTAGGTCATGCACAGACAGCGTGGGCTCCTTCAGGCCCCACTACAGTCAGAATTCTATTTCCCAAATACTGATGAAAAGAGCTAATTCTCTGTGTTTGAGTGCCACATGCTCGCAGGACTACTCTACTCTAGATAACTTCAACAGTTTATTTAGATTTAGCTCATTTACCTCCCCCCATCAGGGAATGGTACCGTGCAAATGCATCCTCATTATATTCACTTATAAATTTTAGCCCATGGAAACATGTTGAAATGCTCCTGCAAGCAAAACATGAACCTTACTTTGAAGTTTACCACAGACCTAGTTAGCAATTTGTCAGTCACAATAACATCTTTGGAAACTAAAGAAAATCAGCCAAATGAAAAAAAAAAATCTGTTTGAAAGATAATAGAAAGACTAATTTCCTCCCAGATACTGAATGTTTTGGTAATAGATTTATTCCTTTATATGAAATTTCCAAATAAAGTAAAAGAAATCATTCCAACACTGACCCATATTGAGCATTTTGGCACTGACAACACGTTCTTTGGTATTAACTGGCACGAGACTATCGCCACAGCAAAGACACTTTTTAATTTGTAGTACTGGCTTCATTTATGTTTTGACAGGAGAAAATGAAATACTGCTCTGGTTGTTCTGATGTCCTGCTGCAAGCAACAGCAATTTGTGAAAAAACAAGCTTCCATAATACACAATATTTCACCCTGAAAGGCACGAATTAGCAACTGGTAAGAAACAAACTATTTTTCATTCCAATTTCACAGAGATGACAAAATTCACCTTAGACACTGATTTACTTGTCCATGTATTAATCTCCCATATTCCAACAAACATTCAATTACAGCCAGAACCATTCCAGCCAGAGCTGCCTCTTGCCCAGCTCGCAGTGAAACACTCAGTATCTTGGATCAGGATGCAGCCTCTTGCATTGAATTTGCAGCCAAACAAATCAAGACTTTTGAAAGCTCAGTATGCACAAACACCAGATTTTAATATTCATATATTTGAATCATCTCCAAATCACCACATGTGCTTGTTTTTAATGATTTATACCTAAACTACTGAAATAAAAATCATATCCAGGCTAAAAATCTTAACTCTAAGCCTGTATCTATCACAGTGCTTTAAAGCAGAACTGTGTTTCTCACGATCAAATTTTCATTTTAGACCCACTGCAGTTAGGTTGGTGTTTGAGGGTGATTTTCAGTGGCTTGAATGCAGCACAGGTGCTGCCAAATCACAGAAAACTCAACGCAAATGATGGATTTATTATGTCAACTCCACCCAAGCCCTGGTCTTACAGCTTAGTTGAGGCTTCCAATGACTGGAGCTTTCCTGAGATCAAACACAGTAACTCATGACACCTGTCTACCATTGGTAAGTCAAGGCCTGGAAAAGACCACACTAGTTTTGCAGGGAGGTCAGTGAAAAGCTTCCGGACCTCTTGAGTCCCTTCCCAAAAATCAATGAGTGGTTTGCGATTTCCTGAAAATGTCAAACACACCTTTAAATATAGGTATTTTGGCAGCTGTGTGAACCTAGGGAGAAATACTTTACAGAAGCTATGTTTGCTCCCAATAAAATTTTTCCTGACCTCATCAACCACCTCAGCAACACCCATGAAGTCTCCATGAATTTACAAACTGAAGCACAAAGTTTAGTGTAACGTTTCCAGGCTACAAATTTAAAATCACAAGATGGTGATGCTGCTTTTTTAGTCTTTTGCTAGTGTGAACAAAACCTGAAGCACTAATCTCATAAAAAGCTAGTTTTTAAATCAACTAGATATTTTTTAAAATGGTGATGTCATAAATACAATGACAATATTGTATTTATTCACAAAGTTATTCAATATACCTGCAGAAGTATAAATGGTACCATCCACAGAGTATCCAGCTACAGCTATGAAAAGTTGGTGGTGTAATGTGTGTGTAGGGACAATTCTCATTTGTGAGACTAAAAGGTTCTTGAAATGGTAAATATTTACCTCTGGTGCAATGTAGTCTGGAGTGCCACAGAAGGTCCTGGTTGTTACTCCATTTAACATATGCTCTTTGCACATTCCAAAATCAGCAATTTTAATGTGTCCTTCTGAATCCAACATCACATTATCTAATTTCAGATCTCTATGAAGAATCACAGTGATTTAATGTTAATGTTTAGGGTCAACTAGGGCTACTTCTGAGTCGAGGTGAGGAATAGGTGTAGCTGTTTGGGGGGCAGAGGGGACAGAGGTGCACATGCACGGCAGTTCACGGTCTGGAGAGAGTTGGGCATCTCACTGCAGACACATAAGAATGACCATAAGCCCTGAAACTGGGCAATTAATGAAGAGATAGCTGTATATGACCATGAGCACACTCACACTGAGACTTCTGAATGAGTAAAACTATCAGACATCACACAGGGACACATAAGATAATGTTTTACATTTTCGAAAGTTTCATTTCAGTTGAGCAGAGCACAGATGTCAGAAAAGCTCAGGTAAAGCAGCAGCTTTGGTTTACAGCACACCAGCAACAACACAACAAAAAAGAACAGGACAGTGATTGCTTTTTTATAAAATGTTTTAAAAATGCACTGAAACGTTAAAGAAACTGATTTTTTTTTTTTATTTTAAAAATAGTTGAGAAATTACTTGTCAGATTATACTCACCTATAAATAATCCCTCTGTTATGGAGAAAGAACAGCCCAACTGAGATCTCAGCTGCATAGAACCTGTATGAATAAAAGCCCAATAGATATCTTATCACCTCATAATTTCCTCTGACAAAATATTTTGAAAATGCAACATGGTAAAGAATGATAGTATAATAGCATATAAAGTATTTAATATACAGTGTGCATGTATATATTAAAGTAAAAAATATATATTACAGGCAGATGTTATAAAAGACACTTCAATTTGACTTTAACAGACACATTTTGGGTATTTGATGACAAAATAATGCAGAATTAAAAAAAAAATAATTGAAAATGTTCCTCTAGACCACAAAAAAATGGTGCAGCTGAAGGACAGCATTTTACTGCAGTGATCTGACTCTGCCTGCAAAGGTCATTATCTCTAATCACATACCAATGCTCAATGTACATTGCAATTCATATGGCAGGAAATAAGTCGCAGAAATGGTACCCCTTTTTATAGGCTGTTAATGGATTAATTACATAAAGCTAATTAAAATGATTACCATATAAACTATAATTACTGGATGTAGTTAAAGGATATATAATATTGACGGATATTTGAAGCCAGTTGCTGTGGAACTGTGCAAACCTTATGCAAGAGGATTATTTAAAGATGAGATTAATTTTTAGGCCAGCATAAGGGAAAGGAAAGCTCAGCTCTGAAACACTTGATCAGAGGTGTTGGTGAATGTGTGTGCTGGAAGATGCTGCACAGGCGTAAGCTGTCATAAAGCACCAGTTCTCAACGGGTGTTGGCAAGTTACACGAGCTGGGAGTCAAGGATAATCTGACACCATCCAGTTTTTATTCAGCAGGTTGTCGAAATTTTGTTTTATATCTCAAATGCTTATATTTAGAAGGCCTTTCGTTTCGACGAGCCTTGATTATTTAAATTGAAATGAGAAATTATTTTAACTGAATTCTCAAAACAGTTGGTCACACTTGATTTTAAAGTTTCATTGGTAAATGATTTATGAAACACTAATGAATGATGATGGGATGTTATAAGCATGACTAAAATGGTACTGATGGATCTGTTCACATTTGAATACGCTACAGATCGTTATCAGCTTCTCACTGATATGCCAGATGTACAATTACCTAGAAGGGATCACGTATATAAACTATTTCTAATCATTTATTAAATCCTCACGAATGAAACTTCTACAAAAAAGGATAACAGAACTTCTTATAAACAATACATTGAATTTATCTTGTATACACTATAACTTATAACGCAATTTTGAGTCTCTTTCTGTTGCCTTTCCCTATAACATTAATTCAGACTGAAATGTTCTACTTGGTTTTTTTTTTTTATATTCGCTTCTAAAAACAACACCAGAATACCAAGTATTCTTTAAAAATCTTTTAATTTCCCGTGTCCTTGTTTAAATTCTTGTCACTTTTAAAGTAGGCATTGCATGCCTTTGCTCGTGCTGTATTTTTGAACAAAAAGGCAGAGCTGCCTTTGGTCTATGTGTGCAAGCAACATTTTTAAAAGAAGCTTCTGGGCCTTAAAAACCACAATCAAAACAGGCCAGCCTAGGCTTCGTACTGAACCTGAGAAGATGTTACTAGAGAGTGTGATAAGGAAACCTAATACTCTTACAGTATAAAATTAAGATGATGATATGATTTAAATATAAAAACATGAACACTCACACTGCTTGTGGCTCCTTAAATTTTCCTACTTGCTGAATATGATACATGAGATCACCACCATTCACATACTCCATAACAAAATACAGACGGTCCTAGGATAAAGTATTAAAGATGCACATAAACACACTAGAGAAAATATTAGATATGCATTGATCAGCAAAAAAGTCACTAATATGTTATTATAAAGCTTTTAAGATTATTAGGACTGGTTGCACATTCTGGCAAAATTGATAGATCAGGAAATGGAAGTGGAAGGTTTTGTAAAACTCACAAGAGTAAATGATTGATGAGATCTGTCTAGATTTGCCAATTTTAGTGACATACTTTTATACATTATTTGTCTACAATAGAAACCAGGACACCATAATTATTCACATATAGTTCTGTCTGAAAAACTATCTGCAGTTATAACACGATCCAGACAGCGCAGAAGATGCATTAATAGTATTCCTCCCAATTATGGAAGACATAATTTTTGGCTTCCTCTGATTTTGTTTTAGTTATTTTGGAAAGAATCCTTATCCCGAAGTATTTGCAGAAAAGTTCTCATCCGATATTCTGATGGGAAAGAGACTCATTACAAAGATGCTCTAGTTCAACCTCTTTCCTCCTTCAGCATTGATTGAAAAAGAAAGTCTCCAATTGTTCAGTAACTAAGATTCCAGAACATCACCACACATTTAAAAGCTGGGACTTCCCAAGCTGGGTCCAACAGACAAGCCATGGGCAAAATGTTTAATTGGCCAGATCAGATTTATAAAATTTAGATGTTTGTATGAATTGTCTCATTGTAAAATCCATGGCAACAGAAGCCTGCAGCTAAAAGCACTAACAAAAAATAACAAATTTTTCCTACGGTCACACAGTTGATGCCTTTTCTTCTCCTTAGTATACAATTTCTCCAATACAATATACAACCTCCAAAATATCTCATAGCACCAAGTGCAAACTACTCAACTCTTAGGAGAACATTAAGTAAACTAGACAAGGGTGTTAATGATTTATCTGGGCCTTTATGTAGGTCCATTGCTCTCATACATGATAAACCAAAAAAAATTATGCTGGAAATACTGAAAACTCCAACTTTTCCCTTCATTCCCCTTAGCAAGAAAACACCAGACATTTGTACTTTTAAGATTTTACATTTAAAATGCATTTGCTCAAAAGAAAGATAAGATTAAACAAAGTGGTTTTTCATTTACTGGCGACACTGAGCTTTTTGGTTACTAATGAAGTTATATAAAGAATTAGAGGCAGCCACAAGTCTATTTCTCACTAGGAGCTCTCTTATTTTATTACAACTATCTTCATATTATAAGTAGGGGCAGGAAAAATATTTTAGAGAGCAAGAATTACCAAGTGCAATAGTTCTCAGATTAACATTTTATTGTGATTAATTATGCCTGCAAATCTGTTGCATTCAGGCCATTTGCTGCTCAGAGATTTGTAGACATTAAACAGAGTTTGAAAATGCCTCTAACACAGACAATTGTGCTATGAAATGGTGACGGGATGACGTGGCTTGTTTGGGGAATATTGCAACGTTATTTCTTCAAACTGCCTGCCCGTTGTTTGTTCGTTTGTTTGTAAATTAAACACCATCAACAATGTAAGAGGTAAAAGACAGGGAACAGCCAAGTGGAAAAACACCAACTATGTCCTTTCGTCACCCCCTTAAGCTACAACCCAGCCCTGGGGCACTCGTTCAAGGCCATTGTCATAGGGTGGCTACAAGGTGAGGGAAGGAGAGCCTTGATTTCTCGCCACTAAAGACCTCTACCCAGCTGGGAAAATTTGGAGCCAGGTCACTAGTGCCAGGGTGCATCCATGCCCACTCCGAAAACCAAAAGCACACGGAGCACCACCTGTCCACCCCGCAGCTGTCCATGTCATCCAACAGAGCGGTACGGTGCCGCTGGATCGTCACATCCCTCCTGTGATTTGTCTCTGGGAGATGTTTAATGTGATGGGGAAATGTCCACTTCACATATTTATAAGGAAGGAAGAAAAAACCTGCAATGCTTTCCTCTGTGCCAGGAGTGTCAGAAAACTAAATTAAATCCATCAACATTGATTCATGACTAATCACCTCGCGATATAATAGCAGCCATTAAGACTTTTCAAGTACTATCCTCAGATCCTTAAAAGTATTTAGGAACTTCTGGGAATCTGGGCTTAAGGCCCCGAGTTAGCAAAGCACATATTATTAAATTTATGAATTGTCACACTGGTCTGCTTGAATTACTGTATGAAGAAAAATCTTTAAACCTCCGTTTTATGTTTAAAATACAAGGGGTAATTACATGTGGTATCTCTTTCTTCACCACTTTCTATGCATGGAAGCTATGATACATAGGTTGGATGATAATAAATGTTACAGAACTGATAAAATCCATGATCATATAATGTGGAAAACATCTGGGTGCCAAGAAAAACTGAGCTCACGTACAACTGTTTGGAAACAAGAGTGAAGCTGTGTCAGGAATGGTGGTTTATCTTGCAACGCCAGGACTCGTTTTTCAACCATTGTACATTCAACATCATCATCCTGAATCACCACATCTTTTTTCAGTATTTTGATTGCATAGAGCTCCTCTGTCCCCTTCCTGTCTGCCAGCATCACCTGCACAAAGAGAAACAACAGGGTGAAAAACCTTCCTACCTGCCAAGGAGGGAAGGTGACTCATCTGTCCGAAGATTTGTATAGACGGCAATCCAGCTTTTGCTTTTATTGGTGTAGACTAACTTGATCAAAACTCCAAAAATATCATCATTACTCACCCACTGCAATGAGTTGTACCAGTCGCTTCAGAGAAAGCCTGTGCCCAAACCCTCTGGTTAATCGCAGGCACATTGCCAAAGGGCTGATAAAATGTTAAGTCCCAGGAGACTTCTTCAGTAAAGGGCACTTTATCACGTAAGTGGTTGTTCAAACAGACAGAAAAACAGCAGTCCCTTCTTTCGACTAAAAGATTTCAAATATATATACTCTATTCCTGTTTTTTCCCCAATATTCAGCCTTACCAATGTTGGTGACTTCCAGAACTGGCAGATTGACCTAGGTAAGTAAAGCCATAAAAGTAGCCTTAATATCCTTGAAATTGCCACGAATTGAGGATCTATAAGTCAGTAACTGTTTCTTACATTCTGCCCAACAGTCTGAGGGCTTTTTTTTATTTTTATTTTTTCAAGAAAACTATCAATCACGACTGAAGCCTGCTAGTCCTTAGGGAATCGCCCTACTCCATGTGAAGAAATCCTCCCTCAAAAACACACATCCTTTTGACTCTGCTTCTTAGGGAATTATTTATTCATTCTTCCTCAAGAAAAAAAAAAAAAAGGAAAAGAATTCAAGTGGAATAGTTACCAAGAAGTCCTACCTTCCCGAAGCTTCCCTTTCCAAGAACCATGAGAAAGTTGAAATCTGTCAGCTTCACCCTGTCCAGATTGTTGGATGGCACACTTGAGTTCTTGTCTTCTGTTGGAGTAATGACTTTGTTACCAGCTGGCCCAAGTTTGGCTTTCTGAAGAACACACGCACACATACACACACAAAAATAGGAAAGTAAGAAGAGCAGCCTGTATCCTTGGCAGAATGGATCACTGGGTGAAGGTCAAAATTGGAGATGACCATATCTGAAGTGGCATTCCCAGGAGAAAGGCTCCATAACAAAATTTGCACAGACACAACTTCGAAGACTCATTCCAGCAATACTTTGGTATTATTGAGTGAATTAAAGTGGAAAACTATGTTCATGTACAACCAGATAAAAGCGGATATCTGGTTAGAAGAGCAAAACCAAAGCAAAAACCAAAGCCAAAGAAAAAAAAATCACTTATTTACATGCCAAAAGCAGGTTTATCTGATGTTTTTGTTTTGAAATACGAAAAATGCTTTTCAAAAATATCATGCTGTAATCTACATAGAGTATTTTAGGATATAAACATTCTCTTCAATACATTCTCTTTTAAAATGTAATTCTTAAAGTCACTGCATAGCAAGAGTTAGGAAATCTTTGACATGCATTAAGAAAAATAACCTACATTAAAAGAAAACCCAGAACACATGACAACTAATGCAGATGAACATGGCCACTTTCAAACTAGAAATACAATCAACTTTGATTTTCAATCAAGTGTTGATCTGGAAAAGGGAGGACGGGAAATACTACATACAAAGGCTCTGCCTTGGCAAGACAGTCTGGTTTGCAGAAGGTTGCAACTCTCAATATTTCATATGACAGACCATATAATCGCTCAAGTAAGTTGCATTTCAAATCTCAAAAGTTAATAGAAGAGAAAAAAGTAAGACTCACCGAAAGATAATGCAGGCTACAAAATAATATCCCTCTTTTTCTCATAATAATCCCATATACCAGCAGAAGCAAAGCCAAGAAGGTTTAATAATACTTTGGGCTATAAGTGCTTTCCTCCCCATCTATCTAGTGTGTCGGGCTGGTAAATAACCTCTAACATGGTTAATTTACTTTGTGCCATTGACATATGCTTGACATTTAAGGATAACGAATTTTCTCCCTGCACCGCAAGAGGACAGTATTTGCATATTATCACTGTTCTACAGATAGAGAAAATTCTAGAAATGAACGTTTACTCAAAGTCACACAATAGATCACCTGAAAAGCCTGGCATGTACCTTTGGCAGCCTCACTGGCAACTTGAAGATACAAATTTTACCCTCCCCAGACAAGTTTAAAGCTGTGAGATTGAAAGGGACGACTCAATTCATAGACTCCAGCCCTCTACTACTGCAGGCAGTAATGTCAAGTAATCCTCTGAGAAAATAACCACACGTCTCTTGAAAAGCATATTGAGATTGGATGACTCTTCCTGCAACTTCATAAATGCAGAAAGTCTCCCACCCTGCCACGAAGATATGAATTTTGGCAGTTTTGGTATCTTTTTTTTTTTTTTTTACTGTAATACAGTGTAAAACGTGGTATTTCTTCCACTGCTATTATTACTTGTGTGCATGAAAGCAGCACTTGGAGATGTTAATCAGGATCATGTGCTGTGCAAATGTTTAGGAAGAGCCAGTCCTGGGTGTCAGCCTAAGTCCCTGAGTCTGCAAGGGATGGCCCCTCGGCAGATCCGGCTGCTGGGACAAATCCAGTGTCTGTAACGGAGCTCTTTGTCAGGACAAAGCTCCTTTCAAGACCACAATACCAGACTGAGCCATAAGCAAAACAAGTAAAAAAAGAAAAATCCTAATATCCTTTATTTGTACAAGATGAAGATATGGTCTAAAGGAGCAGCTTTGCTGGTCATGTCTTTGTGATGCTCTCGCATGTGGGATCTCAGATAAAAAATCCTGCTTTTGTGATACGAGAAGCAATTTCAACATCTGCCTTTTCACCAAGTAAGGGAGATCCAAATCAGGCACTGAATGGAAAACACTAGTTTTATTTCTTATATTTTAAACCCACTGGGTAGGTTGTCAGCAGCCTGTTTGAAAAATGCATCATTCAAAAGAACAAATTTTGTCCCAAGGCAGTTTGCTGCTGCGGGTACAAAGCTGCCGTCGAGGCAGGAGCGCTGCCTGCAGCGCTGCGATCCCGGCTCGGGGGTGAACAGCACTCTTCCAAAAGAAGAAGAGTGGCAGGTCCATCAGGAGGTTCCAGTGCTCCCCGCCGGCTCCCAGAGCCGAACGCACCGCTCTCGCTCGGACCAAACACACGCGAGATGAAATCGTCAGGATCTGTAGGTGGCACCTTAAAATAATCCCAGAGAACCACGCCAGGGCCTCGCTGCACCCTCGCAGATTCAATGAGTTCCAGAGACACGCTCTACTGCCCTTTTCAATCTTTTTGAAATTCCATGTTGCTCTCAATTTGATAATTTCTTTTCTCATATGGTAGGTTTTTAAGGAGAACATCCAGTGCCTCCTGTTCGGCCAGGTGGGCTCCCGTGCTATCTGCTCCAGGTGGATGGCTCCAGGCAGGAGCTGACCGGACTGCCTGACAATCCCCGTTATCTCATCCCTAGTGCTGAGCCATCTCGATGCACTCACCCCTACACGGGTAAGTGTAAACAGAGAACCTTGTTGCAAACCACGTGCAAGCAAAGCTGGGAACAGGGCGTCCACGAAATGCTGGAGAACGACCATGCTGACTCAATGAAGGCACACGGACCCAAGCGGAATGGCCTAATGACCTTATTAAATTATCACAACCTTATCAAAGGTCCAGGTTTCCCCCCAGCTAGGCCACTGACCGTTTGTTTGTGAGCATGCCTGAACAAGTTTCTCATATTTAGCCCACGAATTCCATGACTGCTTTTTGGCTTAAGGTCCTAGTGAAAATACAGTGGGAATCTCAATGCTGGCAAACGTGTACTGGGAGGAAAAAAAGAAAAAGAAACTATAATAATCCATACCAAAACATTTCACAGATGATCCATTAAGAGCTTCCTAAAATACTACTGCAACATGTTTCAGCTATGACTTAGCCTCAGGCATATCATTTTGTCTTCTTTTTAGTACTACTTAAAAAAATTTCCAGAGCTACTGGAACAAAATTAGGCTATAGGCATGGAAATAAAACTACATAAACATGGTCAAGCCATTACAGATGCTACCTGTGCCACCAGATTTTTGATGGGACAGTAGGCCATCTTTATGAAATAAACCCTGAAAGATCTAGTATTTATGACCTGTCTTTGAAAATTAGCTGCTGTGTATATTCCATGTTACTCAATTAATCTTGAAGTACAAACCTAAACCAAAACATCTCTTATAAGCTTCATGGAAGTTTCTAGTCACGACTCATCACTAATAATTGATGTTGATGGATTTAAGCAAAGCCTTTAACCTTGTCCTTTTATTACAGAACTTAACCCAGAATATGGGGCAAGACAAAAGTATTTCAGCAACTCAACTAATGATTTCTGGTTATGACTAAAGGATTAGGAAAATGTCTTCAAATATCAAAATTGCTTTACATTAAATGACAGAAAAATCTACAAAGTGAGGTGAATGTCGCACCTTATTGCAAGCAATGGGTGAAGATACAGAGAAATAAGCATTTGCTTACAAGATTGAGTAAAGATTTGGAGAAAAACATCTGAAATGTGCTGGGCTCAGCGTGCATGTGGAGAAAACCTCGTCCACCCATATGCTGTGGCCATTTCTGCAGAGTTTCTGGCATCTGAGTGGGCTTTCATCTCACCCTCTGGTTGAATATTTAGCTGGCTGTGCCCATTGGAGTTGTTTAATGACATTATACATAAGGTGATGACTTGTAAACTTTCCTCACATTGTAAACTTTCTTCACACAGCAATGTTAATTTCCTGCCCTGGCCCACATGGGAAATAACTTGCTGAACAGATATTTCGCTAGAAAAACATTTTTCCTCAGCTTTTTGAATACCTGAACATGTGGGATATTGGTTTTTCACATGAAGAACAAGTTCTGTATTTCAGATACTTCAGATAGGGAACTACAAACTAAAACTACTGTTACAATACAGCCAAGGAGAGGAGCACAATAAAAATAAATACACTAGAGAAAAATGCACTACTGATGCATTTTGATTTGCATAAATGAAATGTAAAAGCACACACTATCACCTTCACCTTCACTTCTGCATCCAGGATTGCCCATGGTGAATAGCTTTACCATTTATTAGAAGGGAAGAAAATCTGTTTTGTTAAGGCCAACTTAAGCACTAAAAATAGGACAGAGATTGGATAGAAGCAATTTCCAGAGCTCCTAGGAATGCTGTTTCAACAACAGGACTAACCACAGAGGAATAAGGAGATCCAGGGCTCTCTTGGATAGATAAACAGTGTGTAAGGAGGGTAATTGGTGATGTAGAGCTTTACACATGCACAAAATTGAAGAGTAGGGCATTGGATGCGAGATGCATACACAGATCAAGGCACCCAGATGTGGTACCACAGACAGATGTCTTGTTTCCCAAAGCTGACAATGTTAAATGGTATCCAGATCTCCCTGGATCTTGCACAGACTCGTCACTTTCTCTTCAAGCTCTGGCTTTATAAACAGCCCAAAAAATGTATTTTCTTAGGTGTTTATCTAAACTCAGTTTCTTGACAAGGAGCAGGTTTTCCTACAGTTGGATACGGCTCGAAAAAAAGGAACAATATGGAAAACACCTGGAGCAGAGAGAGGTAGATCTGAAAGGAAGAAGAGGTAACCAGAATCACAGCCTACTGGTTGCTGTTGTAGAGGAAAGTATATTTCATTAAAAGCAGGTCTAATAGATTTACTTATTGTATTGATTTTATACATTAGGGTTTGGTTTTTTTTCACAATAGCAGGGATGCCTTAACCTGCTTAAAATTCCACAAACTCTTTTACAATGCAGAACTACTTCTATTCAGATTAGTTTAATGTAGGGTCCAATGACTGATAATACTCATAAATCTTCTTTTATCAGTTGTAGAGGCAGAGCACAAAAATGGGTATCCTAATTTCTGTGTATCCACAGCCAGCTAGAGTATAGTGAGCGTATCTCATAAGGTCAAGAACAGGAAACGTTTTAA